ACCTATAATCCCAGCTTCTCATACAGTAGATAATTACAGGTGTGGTGGTACAACCTGTAATCCCAGCTTCTCATACAGTAGATAATTACAGGTGTAGTGGTGCAACCTGTAATCCCAGCTACTCAGGAGGCTGAGGCAGGAGGAGGCAAGTTCAAGGCCAGCCTGGGCAACTTAGAGAGACTCTGTCTCAAAAAAAATAAAGGGACTGGGGAAGTGACTCAGTGGTAGAGTGCACCTGGGTTCAATGAAAAAGAAGTTATAGATGGAGAATAAGTGATAACTAACTAACCCACTAACTAACCACAACTCTAGCAGCTTACAACAGCCGTTTATCCATGCCGTGGTGTTGGTGGGTCGGGAGGCCAGGCAGCACCTAGCTGGTTCTCTGCCCGGTTTCCCAGGCTGCGGCCAGGCATCAGGCAGGAATGGAAGCCGTTTATTGTAGGACAACAGAGCTATTTATACCTTTTGCACAGCTTATCTTAATTAGCATAAACTAGATACATCAGTCAACCAATAAGGAATCTCCACACTTAATGGCTTGCTTTTGTTACTTCTCAAACCACTCCCTCTGGCATTTTGCCAGGCACCATCCAGACTTGTTTACGAACTCTAACATTTCCCTGGCAAAATACCACGTGTTATTTTGACTTGTCTACAGACCTTAACAGAGAGGGAGAGAAGGTGAGTCCCCTAGCAAAGCAGTCTCCTGTGGACTAATGTCACCACTGGAGGGACATCCCATCACCTTTGCATATCTGTTGTTAGAAGCAAGCCACAGGTCCCCGCACTCAAGGACAGGGGACAGCACACAAGTGTCCACACAGGAGCTCGAGCTCATGAGGGACCTGGAGTCTGAGCTGCAGGCATGGAGGACAGGAGTGACCTGGCCATGCTGACCTCTGGGGAAGGGCATCCAGGGAGGGAGAACAGTAGGAGCGAGTTCCCAGAAGTACCCATGTCTGGGAATGGTCGGGAAGCAGGTGAGGGGAAGATGGAGAGGGGAGAGCAGGGTGAAGGTGGGGCCCGAGGGGCCTGGAGCAGGAGCATCTGACCCGCCCACAGACTCTGCTCGGAGGCACTGGAAGCCCCCGCTTTAAGGGCCTCTGGCTCTGGGATAGCAGAGGCTGGAGGAGCACAGGAGGGTGCTGGCAGCTGCATCTCAGGCAACGGGACACTTTATTTTAACATATTTAGTTGTCAAGGCGATAATGATTACCACGGTCGGGTTACTGAGCACATCTGTCACTGCACTCCTCGTTAGTCCCCAGAGCTTGTTCATCAGAAACCTTGTGCCCCTCCCACACACGATTCACCTGAAATACACCAGACACAGAAAGACAGCCGCTGTGTGAACGGAATCCAAACAAGGCAAGCTCCCACAAACGGAGGAGAGTGATGGTTTCCGGGGCTGGAGGTGGGAACATTTCAACTTAGACGGGATGGTGCCACTGGACATGGGATGTGGACTCACCCTGACCTGTATTTCAAGATCCATATTGGTGCCAGGGATTGAACCAAGAGCGCCTAGCCACTGAGCCACATCCCCAGTCCTTTATATTTTCTTTTTTACTGAGGTAGGGTCTTGCTAAGTCGCTTGGGGCCTCGCTAAGTCACCGAGGCTGACTTGGAATTTGCAATCCTCCTGCTTCAGCCCCTGAAGCTACTGGGATTCCAGCTGTGTGTCACTGCCCCAGGCTTCAGATATACATTTGAGATAGAACTTACTGGTTGTGGTGCTGGGCTGGATTCACTGCTGCAGAGATGTCAGAAAGTGCGTGGTGGTCCTTGAGGGTTGGCTTTAGAATGCGGGGGTCCATGGTGGTCTCTGCTGAGGTGGGAAGATGGACAAGGAGAGAGACGGAAGGGATGGGATTAGTAATGCCATTCATAAATGTCACTTATTGA